TTGTGATGAATTGCAAACACAAGAGTACCATCAATTCAATTATCTTACTGAAACGACATTTTTAATTCAGAAAGAAAATTCCTGCAACATATACGTGTTAAGAAATGAAATACTGGCACTGTACTCAATTTACTTAATCTTAGGGAAAGGTGACATGGGGAAGACAGTCCACCGACTACACAGATTTCTGACAGTTCTATTGTTTAGAGGCTTTGGAAGGTATAAGCAGGTTTCAGCTATAAAAGCTCATTGTCCTTTGAAATTAAAGTGATAGTTCCTGTGCCCTAAAGTCTTTTCTTATAACAGCAGATTTGTCTTCTTGCTGTTCCGCCATCAGTAACAATCCCATCTCTAGGTGAGCTTCTAATGATATCCATAAACAAATTCTGTATAATCCAGAAAGAGTCTTCTTCTTGGTGGGAAACTACTCCAGAAATTACGTGTATTTGAAGGCCATTTTGAGATTTTACACTAACTCTCTGAAGTTACCCCTCTGTTATTTAGTACTGCTTTTTTCATGTTTATTTTTGAGAGACAGAGCGCAAGTTGGGGAGGGGCAGAGACAGAGGGAGACACAATCCAAAGCAGACGCCAGGCTCTGAGCTGTCAGCACAGAGCCCGATGTGGGACTCGAACCCATGAACCTGGAGATCATGACCTGAGCCGAAGTTGGACGCTTCGTCAACTGAGCCACCCTGGCACACTGCGTTATTTAGTACTTTTTTTTTTTTTAATTTTTTTTTCAACGTTTATTTATTTTTGGGACAGAGAGAGAGCATGAACGGGGGAGGGGCAGAGAGAGAGGGAGACACAGAATCGGAAACAGGCTCCAGGCTCTGAGCCATCAGCCCAGAGCCCGACGCGGGGCTCGAACTCACGGACCGCGAGATCGTGACCTGGCTGAAGTCGGACGCTTAACCGACTGCGCCACCCAGGCGCCCCGTTATTTAGTACTTCTATGTTCTAATAATTTGCAAAATGATGTTTTAATGGCAATTATATTCGCTATTGATGAACTACAGTTCATCAATGATATTCATTGGTGATGGTTCATCAGTTAGCTAATGTTAAGCAAAAGATTTTCAAATATCAGATCATTCCCACTAAAATGTTAAAAAACTGTCTATTCCTGCTTCATCTCATTTATGCCGTGTGTTTAACAATGATGCTAAATTCTTCTGATGACACTGGGCATCGAATCTTTAACATAGGATGTCTAAAACAAGGACAACAATATAGTCTTTGATGGTCAGACCAAACTGGAGCATTGAATAAGACTGAGGGGCTTGGATCTCGATGATGCATTCCAAAAGTGGCATTGCCAAATGGGAGAGCTTACTTGCAAAAATGAGACCAGGACAGTAAGGGCACTCGGAGCACATAATACCAGGAAAACATGACTCCTTCACCTTGTCCTTACCCACCACCTTCTCCTATCTTCACCTCTTTCCCTTTACAGTTTGAGGTGCCGTGGCCCATTACTGCAGCTACTTTCTTGCAAACAGCTTCATTATCCTTGCTCCATTTACTTCTTCCATCACAACTGCCAGGCAAGAGAATGGCTCTGAATCAAACCACCTATCTACTTCTCTGCTGAGATCCCCAGGCTACTGAGCTCATGGGAGAAATCATACAACTGCATGCATCACATTGATTCTACCATAGACCAGTAGTCTCCAACCTCAGCACAGCCTGGTAATCATTCAGCATTTCTCTAAGTGGTTCTTTTTGCCATGCTCCACAGAATTCAACCTCTCTTCATTTTCCCTGAACCTCTGACACCGGCATTCAATCTTCCCTTCTACCCAAAAGACAGAACAGTGCTATTGGGTTAGGTACTCCTTCACTTTTATACCCTGGCCAGTGGTATACTAGTAAATGACCAATAACTGACTCTTTGGGGGTTTGGGGTGTGAGGAAGTTCTGATTTATAGTGTTTATCAGTTTCCATGGTGTAAATATTCCTACAGTGGCTGAATTCAAGCTTTTGATGTATACTAGCCGGCTCTCAAAATTTCTGAAAATTTAACTATTGGCTGCCATGAGCTAGTAGAAGCTGGGTCCTGCACACACTGCATGATGCCCAGAAATTTAAATAGGTACAGAACATCTCCTTCTTCACCCTCTGTTACAGGAGATGTCTCTCCTATTCTCCAATCTAAAGTGAAAGACTCCCTCCTGCCTTCTATAAGTATCTTTTTCTATCTATTAAAATCCTTCTCTTGGGGCTCCTGGGTGGCTCAGTTGGTTGAGCTCCAACTTCAGATCAGGTCATGATCTCATGGTTCATGGGTTCAAGCCCTGCAACGGGTTCTGTGCTGACAGCTCGAAGCCTGCAGCCTGCTTCAGATTCTGTGTCTCCCTCTCTCTCCGCCCCTCCCCGCTCATGCTCTGTCTCTCTCTGTCAAAAATAAACATTTAAAAAAATTTTTTTAATCCCTCTCTTGTGCATTTTCAACTTCCCCCTCTTTATTGGCTAATTTCTTTTTTATCTTTTTGTCATTCAATTACCTAGCTCTCTCCCATGCTTTTCATTTAAGGAAACTTCATTTGATTCCACATTTCTGTCCAGCGATGTTGCAGACCCACTTCTCCAAAGAATTGTTTCCATTGTCTTCTCTTCAGATCACTCATCTACTTACTGGAATCTGGGTTTCCACTGAAATCTCGAAGTTCCTTGTTATTACTAGATTCAATAGAGAATTCTCAGTCCTTCTTCTACTGACTTCTCTTTCAGCATCTGACACATTTGACCACTTCTTCCTCTCCTTGGCTTCTGGGACACAATGGTTCTCTGATTCTACTCCTTCCTCTTGGCTTCGGTCTCCTATGCAGGCTCCTCCCTTTTGTCCTTTTCTTACTTGTTGGTGCTCCTCATTATTTTATTCTGAGATCCCTCTCTTCTCATTCTACTTGCCCAGGACTTCATCTCCTCCCAGGCCTTCAATTACCATCCCGAAATTAATGATGACTCACTGATCCATGGCTCCAGGACATTCCTTCTCCTGAACTTTAGACATGTACTACCCACTGCCTGCTAGACATATTCTTTTGGATATCTCCAGAGGCACCTCAAGTTTAACATTTCTAACACGGAAATCTCCCCAGATCTCCTCCCCTTCCGTGCTCTCAGCCCAGTGAATGACTGTAAGTTGCCCATGCCAGAATAATCCTTGAATCCTTCTAATATCTCATAGCCAGCAATCACAAAGTCCTGATGATTCCACTTCCAAAGTATCTCTTCCATCTCTCTACCTCTTATCATCCACAGGGCTACCAGCCTGGTTCAGTCACATTATCTCTCCAAACTAGTCTCCTTGCCTCCAGGCTTGCCTCATCCTAATCATTCTCCATTCTGCAGTGATCTCTTAAAAACAAATCTGATCGTGTCACTTGCTTCCCTAATCACTTCTGTTGCTTCTCCACTGTTTCTAGGACAGAGACCAAACTCTAATATGACCTATGAGTCTCTGTGTGGTCTGACCCCCGTTTCCAAGCCTCTCCTTGCCTCCTACCTTGTTCCCATTGATCTGAATATTTTTCAGTTCCTAAACATGTTATGAGCTGTTTCATCTCTGGGCCTTTGAATATATGGTTTACTTTGCTGGAAATACCATAATTTACTTCCTGCTGCTTCCCATCCCTCTACCTCTGACTCTTACTCATTGTTAGAAGTTGTTCCCTACATAAGTGCCACTGACCCAGTTCTCTTCACTTTTGCAACCATTGCATTTAACCGTTGCATTTAACCGTTGCATTTAACACAATGATTGTTTTGTTGCCTTGTCTCCTTCATAGGTAAATAATCTCCATGAGGACAGGAACTATGTCTATGCTCTTCACCACTGTATTCCCACTGATTTTAATCAAGAAACCGCATGTCCTTAACATCACTCCACATCTCCCCCACCCCCAGCCCCTGGCAACCACTGATCTACTTTCTGTCTCTCAGGAATTCACCCCCCTAGGTAAGTTTGTGGTAAGAAATATTTAGCCTGGACCTATATAAGAATATTAAGTTAGTGATTCATGGCAAATTCATGGCACCCTCTTGTGCCTTATTTTCCGTAACTTTGAAAGGATGCCTACTTATTCAAGAACAAAGTCCATAAGATGGTGTGCAGTGTTTAATAAACCACCTATATATCACTTGATTTCCTGTGCAATTTTGTATTGCTCCATTTCCTATCTCTTGTTTTGGTTAATTCATAGAATTTTCAATTTCATGAGTGTTGGCTTCTGTGGCTAGAAGCAAAGCTTCTCATTATGCTTTGAAGAATCTCCCATTCTGCCAAGCTGGCTCCTTGGGTCCCTGCCTTCTGCTTAATTCCTCCTTGTGCTCTAAAATAGGAGTTTCATCCATTCTGATCTCAAGGAATTTGGATCTGTGCAAGTTAACATTTTGAAACTTGTCTTACATACAAAGTTGTATTGCTCTCATTCAAAACCTATCTTTTGGGGTGCTTGGGTGGTTCAGTCGGTTGAGCATCTGACTCTAGATTTCAGCTCAGGTCATGATCTCACTGTTCCTGGGATCCAGTCCTGCACCTGCTTGGGATTCTCTCTCTCCCTTCCTCTCCACCCTTCCTCTCATTTGCTTGTGAGTGCACACGAGTTCTCTCTCTCTCTCTCTCTCTCAAAATAAGTAAACATTTTTTAAAACCTATCTTTTAATTAAGACATTTTTAGGTTTTTAGTTCTTGTTTTCAGAAACAGGTAATTAAAAATAATAAAAAATAATAGATATTATTTTAAGGGAGAGACACATCCACCATCTCCAAGAACTTCATGGCTGCTTTATGAATTGTAAATGGAGAGAAAGGCTAATGAATCCAACTATTTCCCAAGGATCATATTTAACATTAATTGAGACTATGAGGTACCAGGGACAATGCTAAAATTTTTTTTTTCCATTACTTCATTTAAACTCAGGGCAACCCAACAAAGTAGGAATATTGCTACCGTCCTTTTACAGGTAAAGGAAACATTAAATGACTCACCCAATGTCAGACAGCTAGTAACTAAAGATGAGGACCTTGGTGGTTCTCTGAACTATAGAATCCAAAATCCAATATTGTTCTTCCTGGGAGAAAAAATTAATTGTAAAGTTAAATGGTAGTTTAATCTCATACTGTTTATCCTGAAAAAATAGCATTAACTTCTGATTTTAAATGTTTACAGCATCGAATTTGAATATATTCTTGATAATAGAAAAATATAAATATCTATGTATGTTTTGTTTTGTTTTTATTTGAGAGAGAGAAAGCACAGCAAGGGAGAGGGGCAGAGAGAGAGAGAGAATCTTAAGCCGGCTCCGCTCTCAGCCCAGAGCCTGACACGGGGTTCCATCCCATGACTCTGGGATCACAGTCTGAGTTGAAATCAAGAGTGGGATGCTCAACCGACTGAGCCACCTAGGTGCCCCTAAATATGTCTGTATGTTTAAACATGGGCTGTTTGAGAAACGCTTGTGCTTCCTAACCACCAATTTCATTGCTTCTCCATTTGGAGTGTTCACATGATATCACAGGATAGGACTGAACCTGGGAGGTAGAACAGTGAAAAAGACCAGCTCTTAAGATGACTAAAATCCCTCTTATTTCCTTCCCACACATAACACTAGATGCATATAGCTAAATTGTGTCTTATTTTCCTTTTTGTAATAATTTCAATGATCACAATTTGAATGCTTGGCCCATAGTAGGCACTCACTAATTATCTACTGAATGAATTGATTTGCCCTTTTTTGGAACTCTATGGCATTTACTTCCTAAAGTCAGGACCTGCAAAAAGAGAAGCTTAACACTGAAGAATACTAAGAGACATTCAGCATTGTAATTTTAGGAGTTTGTACATTCCACTCAGTCTTAAATATATGCCACATTTGCTCTCTAACTGCTTTAGCTATGTTAGTCTTGTTTCCTTAACCATATTTTAAGCAAGGACTGTTATTCAATTCTTATCTGAGCCTCGTGGAGCCTAGCACAGTGCTGGTCTTAGATAATCTATCAAAATGCACATCACATTCTCTTACAAATAGTAATGGCTTAACAAATATCCGTTAATATGGTTATGAAAATTATTTTCAAGGGACGCCTGGGTGGCTCAGCTGGTTGAGTGTGTGACTGTTGGTTTTGGCTCAGGTCATGATCTCACAGCTCTGTGGGTTTGAGCCCCATGTCCGGCTCTGCCCTGGCAGTGTGGAGCCTGCTTGGGATTCTCTCTCTCCCCCCCCACCCCAACTTGTGCTGTCGCTCTCTCTCTCTCTCTCTCTCTCTCTCTCTCTCTCTCTCTCAAAATAAATAAACTTGAAAAATTTATTTTCAAGTTGACAAATTTTGTTGGAACCAACAGCCTCTTTCCTTCTAATTTTCATAAATTGCAACTTCATTTTTTCCCCCAGGTTAACATAAGTATAGCAAACAAATTATAATTTTGTAATTTATAAATTTTATAATTTATAAAATTTTAAGCCAAGTAAATATACAAAGTGTAATAGCATTATAAAGAATTTCTCTGCTGTCATCTATATGTTTATAAACCAGGCAAAATTAATTTGATTGCATGGTCTAAATGGGTTTGATCTTAGCCATATACTAGCATTTTTTTTTCCATACAACTTTTGATTGAAATATAATTCAAATGCTTAAAATTCAGCTTTTTAAAAGTATACAACTCAGTGGTTTTAGTTATTCACAAAGTTGTCAACCCATCACCACTATCTAATTCTAGAACATTTTCATCACCCCAGAAAGAAATCCCATATCCATTAGCTGTCATTCCTCTTTCCCCCCAACCCTTGGCAACCACTAATCTACTTTTTTTCTCTGTGGATTTGCCTATTTTGGACATTTTGTTTAAATGGAATTATACAATACGTGGCCTTTCTTTTTTTTTTTTTTTTAAGTTTTATTCATTTAAGTAATCTCTATACCCAAAATGCAGCTCGAACTCATGACCCCGAGATTACGAGTCACATGTTCTTCTGACTGAGCCAGCCATGCTCCCCCTATCGTGTCTGATTTCTTTTACTGGAGTGATGCGTTTAAGGTTCATTATGTTGTATTATGTATCAGTTCTCCATTCTTTTTTGTGATCAAATAATATTCCATTGTACAGATAAACTACATTTTGCTTACCTAGTCATCAGCTGATGGACATTTGGATTGTTTCCACCTTTTTAGTGTTGCTATGGACATTCATATACAAGTTTTTGTTTGAACACCTTTTTTTCAGTTCTCTTGGGGTATATATACCTACAAAAGGAATTGCTGAGTAAAATGGTAATATTACGTTTAAGTTTTTGAGGAACTACTAATCCATTTTCCAAAGCAACTGCACCATTTTACATTCCCACCAGCAGTGTTTAAGGATTCCAATTTCTCTATATCCTCCCTAACACTTATTATTTTCTTTCTTTTTCTTTTTTCTTCTAATCACCCTAGTAGTGTGAAGTACTTTCTCATTATGGTTTTGATTTGCATTTCCCTATTGACTACTGATGTTGAGCATCTTTTCATGTGCTCTTTGGCCATTTGTATATTTTCTTTGGAGAAATGTCTGCAGATCCTTTGTCTATTTTTTAATTGGGTTATTTGTCTTTATTTTTGAGTTGTAAGAATTCTTTATAAATTCTGTATACAAGTCTCATATGAGACATATAATTGTAAATATTTTATGCTGTTCTATGGGTTGTCTTCATTTTCTTGAAAGCGACCTTTTACAACACTAAAGTATTTACTCTTGATGTTGTATGTTTAAATTTTTGGTGAACTCCAATTTATCTAATTTTTTGCTATCTATTTTAGTTGCTTATGCTTTTGGTCTCATACCTAAGAAATCATTACCAAATACAAGGCCACAAATACTCCTGTGTTTTCTTCTATGAGTTTCATTGTTTTAGTTCTTACATTTAGGTTTTGATTCATTTTGTGTTAATTTTTTTTTTAAGAATTGCATTTTATTGAAATTTTTTAAAATTTATTTTTGAGAGAGAGAGTGAGAGAGAGCATGAGAGAGAGACAGCACATGAGTAGGGGAGTAGCAAAGACAGAGGGAGTCACAGAATCCGAAGCAGGCTCAGGCCCTGAGATGTCAGCACAGAGCCCCACACAGGGCTCAAACCCATGAACCATGGGATCATGACCTGAGCCGACATCGGACACTTGACCAACTGAGCCACCCAGGTGCCCCTGGGTTAATTTTTGTATGTGGAACATGCATTAACATGTGTGATCATATGCACTATCTATTGAAGTTCGTACAGAAGTAGTTCAGAGGATTACGGATATAAGTAGTGGGAAGTGACAGTTTTCAAGTAATCAGAACTCACAGCAAATATATTTAATCTTTAAAAAAATTAATCTGAAATTTTCCTGTCTTGAGGGTAATAAGTAAAAATATAATAACAAAACTTTCTTTGTATGTTACATTAAACTCAGTAGCTTTTTCGTAGCATTTGCTTAATCTTTATCAACAGATATTCCTTCTGTAATATTTCTGGCAGGTAAGAGAAATTTTGATACATTCATCATACAATATCTTCTATTTTCAGAAACATAGCTAAATTTAAGTTGTTCTGTTCAAATGAAGTGGAAAGAAAGAATGAGCAAGATTAGAACTACTTCCCTATTCAGAAGCAGAGTAATGTCAGGTATCTATTCATCAGACCTCCTGAATACCTTTCCTGAACAGACATTTCAATTTGAAAGAATTTTAACAACAGTCTCAACTGCATGCCCAGAGAAATGGAACAGACAGCAGGAGTTTTCAAGAAAAGAACAAAGAGACAAAAATCAAGCAGGTTTGCCAACAGTAGGTCCCTTTGTTTGAAACAACATGAGGACTTTGTAGCAATTCCATTTTAGAAGTTTTCTATAAACCAGAGTTTGAAATTCATCTTGGGGATGAGGGCACTGTTAAATTACTGGGGTCAAATGTATCACAGTTATGTTAACATTGCTTATTTTCCAGAATCATAATTTATAGTAATTCTCCATTAAATTCAGGTTTCTGAGAAAACAAAATTGAAATGATTTTACAAAGTACATTCTCCTAAAGGAGAGATTGATTGCCTGATTGATTCATTGGTTGATTACTGCCCCCAAGGAGAGTTTGTTTTGAAAAATTAATTAAAAACTAGAGTTAGAGAGGTTTTCCCTAGAGATTGAAATGGAAGTTATTTTTAGTTTTTTAATAAAATTAGGAAGATTGGCTGTGGGACATTGGTGGCTCCTGAAATTTAATTCACTTCCTGTTGTCAAATGCCCTTTCAGTAATTGTACCTTTCATCCTCAAAAGAAAATCTCTTTCAGCAACTATAGGTGAGAACGTTTTGATATGGCACATATACAAAATCACATGTGGCGCTGAGATTGTTCTTTGGGGACAGTGGTGCCCAATCTTTTCTCACTCTCATTCTAGTTGAAATTTAAAATGCTTTGTTATCAGAAGGTTTTTCCATTTAAGATTGGCAGCAATTTGACAAGACTATAGACGCAAGCGTGCCTTTGCTGGGGAACGATCGCTGTGCGTTTTCTTGCATCGTGACAGTTGGTGAGTTGCCTGTCCTTGGATTCTCTGAAATGATTTTTGGTGACCCTGGCTTGTTTTTGACCTGAAGACGTACCATGGTCTTGCTTTTCAAACTGGGGTTCCAATGTAAGCTTTGTGACGGCAGAAACTGCCTTGTCACTGCGATGGCCCCAATGTCTAGAATATTGTCTGGCATGGTGCTCGAGAAATAGTTATTGAATAAAAGAGAAGAGGAAGAAGGAGGAGGGAGGGAAAGAGACGCAGAGACAAAGAAGAAGGGAGGAAGAAGAGAAAAGAGGAAAGAAAAAAAGCAGAAGTAAAAGAACTGGTAGCGGAAGGGGAAGGTATTGATAGCGCATCACAAGGAATATGTGGGTGTGAGGTGGGGAGGAGGGAGGCAAAGCTCGAGGAAAAACATAGGGAAGATCAATTTTACCCAACGAAGTGAGATGGGGAAGAGAAGGTTACATCAAAATAAATAAAGAGGCACCTGGGTGGCTCAGTCGGTTAAGCATCAGACTCTTGGTTTCTGCTCGGGTCATGATCCCGCGGTTCGTGAGTTCAAGCCCCACGTCAGGCTCTGTGCGACAGCATGGGGACTGCTTGGAGTCCTCTCTCTCCCCCTCTCTCTGCCCTTCTCTTGCTCGCTCACATGTGCGCTCTCTCTCTAAAAATAAGCAAAATAAACTTAAAAAGAATTTAAAATAAATACAGATATGTGGAGAAAGATGCAAAATTTGCATTAGGCAATAAATTGTATTCCCTGCTTCCACAGACTCATAGACTCTCAGTCTCATAGACTCACAGACTCACAGAATCTCAAGTTGGGAAGGCATCGAAGAAGTGATTTTGTCACATCAGCCATATCTGATCCCTCAGTCCAAGATTGGTGAACTTTTTCTGAAGAAAGTAAGATATTTTAGGTTTTGAAGGGCATAGTCTCTATCACAACTGCTCCATTATGCCGTTGTAGCATGAAAAGACCATACACATACACAGTATGTTAGAAAAAAAAAAATGTGTACAGCTTTGTGTCAACAAAAAACAGGTGGCGGGACAGATTTGGCCTGTGGGCTATATAGTTTGTCGACCATACCTGCATATTTTCTATAATATTCTGACAATGCTTATCACCTCTGTCTGCATCTGCAGTGACAGGGAACACACTTCTTTTCAAGGAAAACTGTTCCATTTTTGTATGACTGTGGTTATAGAAAGGCATTCTTTATATTGAGTAAAAATATGCTTTTGGTGTTATTATGGACCGAATGTTTGTGTCTCCCTAAAATTTGTACATTGGAATTTAATCTCCAGTGTGATGGTATTTGGAGGAAAGACCTTTGGGAGATAAGGAGGTCATGAGAATGGGGTCCTCATGAATGGAATTAGTGCCTGTGTAAGAGGACAGAGGGTCAGCTTACTTTTACACAACAAGAAATCAGTAGTCTGCAACCCAGATGACGGCTTTCACCAGAACCTAACCATGCTGGCACTGTGATCTGGGATTTCCAGTCTCCAGACTGTGAGAAAGAAATTTCTAAGCCACCCAGTCCATGGTACTTTGTTACAGCAACCTGAACTAAGCCAAGTACTATCTTAGGGTTTATTTGTTTGTCATTGTTGTTTAAGATACTCTAACCTAATGATTTAGTACATGATACTTTTTTTTTTTAAGGTAGCTTCTGCTTCTAGTTAACATGGAGTAACAAGAATGTGATTTACTCACCCGTCTGAAACAACTAAAAACTCTGAACAAAATGTAGGAAACAAGATTCAAGGAAACAAGCATTCAAGATACTGACAGTAGGCAACAAAGGACAGTGATCTCTGCCGGATAGGAAACAAATGAGGGAAGACTATAGTTGCCTCCAGCTTATTGCCTAGAGTGAATTTCCAGGACTCAGCTAACTGGGAGCCCGAGGGGAGCCCAGCCATCTCTCTGAGTTGAGGAGATGGGGGTGCAAGTTTGAGGGAGCCAAGGCCAGTAGCACTCGCAGAGCAAAGCACAGGATCAGAGAGCGTGGCTCGAGAGGGACAACTCTGGAGATGAGCAGAGGGGCCCCTTTAGTATTCGGCTGAGTGCTGCTCAGTGAATGTGTTGTGAGGAAATTACCCAAGGTCAGGGAAAGAACCACCTGAAGAGATTACAGGGAAGAGTAAACAGTTCTTGGAGCTCGTCAAAGGCCAGAAATAGTTCCTGTTCCTAACAGCCAGATTGGAAAACCTCAGAATTCACAGATACGGTGTAGAATACTAAGATGAGTCTTGCCTCAGTAATGGGGGGAAATTATTCCCAGGCCAAATGCTGCTCTGGTCATGGATAAATGAACTTCAGAGTTAGATCTGAAAGGATCTAAGTGTTTCCAGTATGTTTTTCTCTCTATATAACTACCTATGATAAATTTTAATTTATAAATCAGGCACAGTAAGAGATTAACAATAACTAAAAATTCAGTAGAACAATTATAAAATATACTGTAATAAAAGTTATTTGAACGTGGTCTCTTTCAAAACATCTTATTGTACTGTACTCACCTTTCTGACGATAATGTGAGATGATAAAATGCCTACGTGATGAGATGTAGTGAGGTGAATGACACAGACCCTGTGACATAGTAGTAGGCTATTACTGACCTTCTGACAGTATGTCAGAGTGTCATCTGCTTCTGGACCTTCGTTGACCAAAGGTAATTAGAACTGCAGAAAGGGTGGGGCTCCTGGGTGGCTCAGTTGGTTAAGTGTCCGACTCTTGATTTCAGCTCAGGTCATGCTCTCAAGGTTTGTAGGTTCGAGCCACACATCAGGCTCCTGTGCTCTCTCTCCCCCTCTCTCTTTCTCTGCCCCTCCCTCACTCACACACTCTCTCTCTCTTTCAAAAATAAATAAACAAACGGGGGGGAAAAAAAACAAACCCTGCAGAAAGTGAAACAATGGAAAAGGGGAGACTTCTGTAAATACATGGTGAGACTACCCAGCCATAGATCATCCTTGCATTCCGACAGCACTCAATCCAGAGTGAACCCTGCTTCCTGGGACTCTACCACAAATCACAAACTACAGCCCCAATCCTATCACAGGTCTTTTTATACGCTGTTCCCCATGGTGTGCATTCCCCCTCACTGCAATGAGTGATAAACACAACCTCTTCAACTGTTAATGTGTTCTTGGTGGCTTTGACTGGAAGGCATTGCTATTTCAAATATATTATTTAATGTAATCGTCATAACAAGAGCATAAGCCTGAGTTTACAGAGGATCCTAAGGTGACTGGAGGTTAATTTAATTAGAATTACAAGCATAAAGAGACAAATCAGGGATTTTAACACAGGCTTTTTGTATGTTCCTCACTATGTTGAACGACTGAAGATGAGGAGCAAGATAAAGAAGAAAATAGGGGCACCTCGGTGGTTCAGTCGGTTAAGTGTGCGACTTCAGCTGAGGTAATGATTTTGCGGTTTATGGGTTTGTGCCCTGCATTGGGCTCTTGCTGACAGCTCAGAGCCTGGAGCCTGCTTCAGATTCTGTCTCTCTCTCTCTCTCTCTCTCTCTCTCTCTCTGCCCCTCCCCTGCTCACACATTGTCTCTCTCTTTCTCACAATTAAACATTAAACAACAACAACAACAAAAAAAATTTTTTTAAATTTTTTTTCAACGTTTTTTATTTATTTTTGGGACAGAGAGAGACAGAGCATGAACGGGGGAGGGGCAGAGAGAGAGGGAGACACAGAATCGGAAGCAGGCTCCAGGCTCTGAGCCATCAGCCCAGAGCCCGACGCGGGGCTCGAACTCATGGACCACGAGATCGTGACCTGGCTGAAGTCGGCCGCTTAACCGACTGCGCCACCCAGGTGCCCCAACAAAAAAATTTTTTAAGAAAAAATAAAGATATTCAAAAAAGGACAAAAGATTTTTTTTCTCCTGGTCTTTAACAGTCACTTTCATGGAGCAACATCTCCATCTTGTGATATGTTATAATGCAAGTTTGTAACTAATTGGATTTTACAACTATAGTCAATCATTTGATGCAACCAAGATTTAAAAGAATTATTTTGCTAATTGCACTATAGGCAAAATAAAATTAAGCCATTCAATTAAAAACCACAACTAATGAGAAAAGAAATGTTTTTTATTGTTATCTATGGTACTTTTTTTCCCCTGAGAGATTACCCTATTGTATGCTTTCACTTTAAAATAATGTCCTTGGGTTGCCTGGGTGGCTCAGTCAGTTAAGCAGGTGACTCTTGATTTCAGCTCAGGTCATGATTTCATGTGGGATCGAGCCCTGTGTTGGGCTCCACAATGAATGTGGAGCCTGCTTGGGATTCTCTCTCCTTCTCTCTATCTCTCTCTGTCCCTGCTCTGTTCCCTCTCTCTCTCTCAAACTAAATAAATAAACAATTTTTTAAATGTTAAATGTTGGGATGCCTGGGTGGCTCAGTCGGTTAAGCATCTGACTTCGGCTCAGGTCATGATCTCACAGCTTGTGGGTTCAAGCACCATGTCAGGCTCTGTGCTGACAGCTCAGAGCCTGGAGCCTGCTTCGGATTCTCCCACTCTCTGCCCCTCCCCTGGTTGCGCTCTGTGTGTGTCTCTCTCTCTTGAAAATTAACATTAAAAAAATTTTTTTGTAAAAAAAAAATAAAATGTTAAATGTCAAAAATAACATATACAGATATATCCCTTTACTTTTTAAAAGATAAGTAGTATCAGGGTGCTTAGGTGGCTCAGTCAGTTAAGCATCTGACTCTTGATTTCAACTCTGGTCATGACTCACAGTCATGGGATGGAGTCCCATTGTTGGCTCCTGGATGAATATGGAGCCTGCTTTGGATTCTCTCTCTGCCCCTGACCCCTTCAAAATAAATAAATAAATAAACTTAAAAAAAAAAAAAAAGATAAGTAGTATCTGCAACTAAGGTACTACAGAAGATAAGATGAATTCTTCTGTTTGCTTAATTCTGTTTGCTAGATTGCTTAAATATGAGACTGCAGCAGCAGGAAAGAAATAAAGTAGGAAGAACTCATTTAAAAAATGATTAGGAGCCAGATAGAAGCTAGAAGGGTGGAAGAAAAACACTTCATGCTGGAGCATGTGAATATAGTAATAAATATATTCCTAAAAAATCATACTGTCTGAATTTTAAGAAAATGTTTTCTAAGTTGCTTGAAAGAGTATAACTGAAAGTTTAAGACAAAGTAGCATTGGCATATGGAGCAAGTATTGTACAGACATACTTACACTAAAAAAATTATTTGTTGATTTTCTAAAATTCAAATTTAACTGAACAGCCCGTATATATAATCTGGCAACCCTAACTGTACATCCATTAAAAAAATAAGAAAAAAAGCATAGACAACTCATCAGTTTACCAGCAGATGGCTCTCTGAATCTAGTTTAGAATAAGATAGTATACTTAAACCTAGTGATGAGTCCTTATTGTCTCAGAGTTTTTGTTGTTTTGAGTGTTTCATTGGTCTGGTGTGATTGGGTCTGGTGTGGTGGGGGAGTGGGAAATTTTTATTTAGTTATATAAAAACATAAAATATCTTTTTTCACCATTTCATATGACTCTTCATGATCCTTAACTTTAGAATATGAAAAGGAAATAATAATTTAATTTGCAATATTTTTTCTTTTATATTTGTGCAAGCATTTATTTTTTATTAAAAAAATTTTTTTTTAATTTAATTTTTTTTTTCAACGTTTATTTATTTTGGGGACAGAGAGAGACAGAGCATGAACGGGGGAGGGGCAGAGAGAGAGGGAGACACAGAATCGGAAACAGGCTCCAGGCTCCAAGCCATCAGCCCAGAGCCTGACGCGGGGCTCGAACTCACGGACCGCGAGATCGTGACCTGGCTGAAGTCGGACGCTTAACCGACTGCGCCACCCAGGCGCCCCTATTTAAAAATTTTTTAAGTAGGCTCCACACCCAGGGTAGAAGAGCTCAACACAGGGCTCAAACTCACAACCTAATCTGCCTGAGCTGAGATCAAGAGTCTGACATTTAACCAACTGAACCACCCAGGTGCCCTTATTTGCTCAAGCATTTAAATGCTAAGGCAACATGTATAATTTCAGTGAAAAGTGACTCTGACATTTCACAAAGTAATTCTGTGCCTATTGTTTTATGTATTTTGAGCTTTGGGTCAGGGATCTCCATAAAACCACCTTTACCTCTTTCATGCATTCTGATTTGCTAGGATATTCGAACATTGAGGCATGAGCGTTGTTTCAATTTAAACCACACATCCAGAGCTCCCAATGAAATCACTGATTCAGCAGAATTTTGACTTGTCACAATTTTACTAAGCTTTCGCCAATGCCAAAATGTCTTGATATGTTCAAGTCTATGACTTACTTTCTAGGAAAAAGTATTCTAGAAATAATTATTGTCTTCAAATCTATTTTGTCTGATAATGGCAGTCACTCAAGCCTGTCTTTTGGTTCTCGTTTGCATGGCTTTGATTTTTTTATCTTTTCACTTTCAACCTATTTGTATCTTTGAATCTAAAATATGTCTCTTGTAGCCAGGATATAGTTGGATTTTTAAATCCATTCTACTAACCTCTGCTTTTTAATTGAGTATTTAATCCATTTACATTTAATGCAATTACAGATTAGGTAGGATTTATATTCACCATTTTTCTATTTTTTTTCTGTATGTCTTATGTCTTTGTCCTTTTATTCCTCCATTTCTGCTTTCTTATGCAAAAAAAAAAAAACCTTTCAAATAGATATTAAAAAAATTTTTTTAATGTTTATTTGTCTCAGATTGAGAGAGAGAGAGAGAGAGGGAGAGATGGAGCACAAGCAGGGGAGAGACAGAGCAGAATCCAAAGCAGGGTCCAGGCTCTGAGCTGTCCACACAGAGCCCGATGTGGGGCTCCAACTCACAAACTGCAAGATCATGACCTGAGCCAAAGATGGACTCTTAACTGACTGAGCCACCCAGGTGCCCCTTGAATAGACATTTTAAATAGACATGGGTAAATAAATATTAAAATAGATATTTAAATATCTTTCCCATATTGACTTTCTCAGTCTCTTCAAATCCTTCTCCACTTACTTTTTTCTTAGTAAATAAATCATAGACTTCAACATATCAAGAAACAAATACAAAAAAACAAAGAGACTTGCTTGGATTATGCAACTAATGACAACATTAGGACTAAAAAACAGGTCTTCTGATTCTATCTAGTTTCAAAGTTCCCACTACCACTGTGCCATGTAACTGGACTGAGTTCATCTGTGACAAGATCCTTCTAATGTCTTTTTTGCCAGTTTTGAATTTCTTATATTTTCTCCCTCTTGTTTCAGAGGAAGCATTGTTTCTCTCTTTTTTTTCATGTTTATTTATTTATTTTTTAAATAATTTATTCATTTTTTAGTTTACATCCAAGTTAGTTAGCATATAGTGCAACAATGACTTCAGGAATAGATTCCTTGATGCCCCTTACCCATTTAGCTCATCCCCCCTCCCACACTCCCTCCAGCAATCCGGTTTTCCATATTTAAGAATCCCTTATGTTTTGTACCCCTCTCTGCTTTTATATGATTTTTTCTTCCCTTCCCTTATGTTCATCTGTTTTGTATCTTAAAGTCTTCATATGAGTGAAGTCATATGATATTTGTCTCTGACTGACTTATTTCGCTTAGCATAATACCCTCTAGTTCCATCCACGTAGTTGCAAATGGCAAGATTTCATTCTTTTTGATTGCTGAGTAATACTCCATTATATATATATGTACATACATATGTACATATATATATGTATGTGTGTGTGTGTATATATGCCACATCTTCTTTATCCATTCATCTATTGATGGACATTTGGGCTCTTTCCATACTTTGGTTATTGTTAATAGTGCTGCTATAAACATTGGGGTGCATGTGCCCCTTCGAAACTGCACACCTGTATCCCTTGGAAAAATACCTAGTAGTGCAATTGCTGGGTCATAGGGTAGTTTTATTTTTAATTTTTTGAGGAACCTCCATACTATGTTCCAGAGTGGCTGCACCAGTTTGCATTTCCAACTATCTAACTCTTGAATTCAAATCTCTTAACACAGTGTTTCCACAAGTGCAGAGGCAGCACCATTAAAGGTATGGAAGATGGGGCACCTGGGTGTCTCAGTCGGTTGAGTGTCTGACTCTTGGTTTCGGCTCAGGTCGTGATCTCGTAGTTAGTGAGTTAGAGCCCCACGTCAGGCTCTGCACTAACAACGCAGAGCCTGTTTGGCATTCTCTCTCTCTCCCTCTTTCTCTGTACCTCCAGCTCTGTCTCTGTCTCTCAAAATAAATAAATAAACTTTAAAAACTAAATAAAAATGTATGGAAGAGGATTTGAAGTGATATGCTGAATTAGTATTGAATAACAAATATACACTGGGAAAGCTTCTTTATCCAAGGCTCTTTTGATCCTTCTGATGAGGAGAAAGTCTCATTTTTGTATTGGTGTTTAACACCTCTCTACCATTGCCCATTTTCCTTTTTAACTGAGGGAAGTCAACCTTATTTTTTTTTAATTTTCTTTTATGTTTTTATTTTATTTTTGAGAGAGAGACACAATGTGAGCGTGGAGAGGCAGAGAGAGAGGGAGACAGAATCTGAAGCAGGCTCCAGGCTCCAAGCTGTCAGCACAGAACCCTACACAGGGCTCAAACTCACTGTGAGATCATGACCTGAGCTGAACTCAGGAGCCCAACCAACTGAGCCACCCAGGTGCCCCGAGAGCAGTCAACCTTAAGCCTTGAGCCTTGATACCCAGCTTCTAACTAGAATTTAATAGTATTATTTTATTTTTGTTGTGATGATTTTCATTTATGGCAATGATACTGATTTTCCATTTATAATTTTCTATTGAAGTAAAACTGTGATCCTGATTTAAAAGAAAATATTGAGTAGGGGCGCCTGGGTGGCTCAGTTGGTTGAGCGTCTGACTCTTGATTTCGGCTCAGGTAATGATCCCAGAGTCATGGTATCGATCAAGCTCTGCATCGGGCTCCGCACTGAGCATAGAGCCTGCTTAAGATTCTCTCTCTCCCCCTCTGCTCCTCTCCCCTTCTTATGCGTTCTCTCTCTCTAAAAAAAATAATAAAATAAAATAAAATAAAATAAAATAAAATAAAATAAAATATTGAGTAAATTGTATAAATGGTAGTATATGGATATGGAAAAATAATCCACTAAGGTGGTGCTTGAATGACCAGCTCTGGGAAAATACTGTGTTGGTGCAATCTATTATAACAGTTGTCTATCATAACCTTCCTTTCTCCTGGGCCACAAAAGACAGTCAAGGGCTGGGATGATAAGCCTCCTGAACCTCCATTCCCCATTGCATTCCAGGTAACTCAAACTCTTCCTTAGTGCTATGTCATATTTGGCTTCTAAATTTCAGAATGTTGTTTCTAATGGTTCTGTCTCTGAACTGCTAGGGTCTGGACTTTTATTCCTCTCCACTTGCCTCACCCTTCAGGACTCTGCTCCATCCTAGTTGTCTGCTGCTTCCAAATTAAGAAAGATTTTTTTCCCTCCTCTGCAAGTGGTTATGGCTCTTTTGGTTAATCTTTGATGGGCTTGTGCAATCATATTTTGATTTTTCCAAAGGCATCTTTACACTATCATCTTACCACTTCTTTTTCAAGTTGTTTGGGACAAATTTCCACAAGGAGCGGGGAAGAGGACACTTGAGTAATGCTACCCTCTATGATATGCAAAGTATTCCTTCACACCAAGCCTCACCCAGCATCAGAGGATGATGTTCACCCACATCAGAGTGAGTTTCCTGCCTTCTTGGCATCTACCATTCTCTTCTTCTCTGGGATGGGATATTTCAGTACCTGACCATCAGTCTCCAGATGTAGCTTACCCAGGGGGTCTTGGGGATCCTCAGACAAATAGGGCTTCTGATGCCTGCCCTAATACCCCAAAGTTCCCAGTTGGATATGGCTTAGGTCCACAATGGAACACTAGGTAACTTTATAAAAGAATAATGAAAAGCATTGTTGAAAAAAAAAAAAAAGTCAACCATTATTTCTAAGTGGCAATAATTATAAATTGAGTTCTGATGTTTAAAAACACAATTTCATTTCTGTAGTAAGCTTCAATGGAAATGAGCACACTTTTCATTTCTGTAGTAAGCTTCAATGGAAATGAGCACAGTTTATATGTCCATATTAACTTGAAGCAAGTGAGAAAATGTATTTTGAATACCTACTTGGCTAATATGCACTGGCTGCTAGCTACCAGCTACTAGCAAGGAATGTTAATTTACAAATATTTCAAATACTCTACCCCCTGGGGAAAGAAAATCAGTCCTTTAAGTTCTTTTAGTAGAAAGCTCCAGGTAACTAACTTTTAATTTTCTACACCATCTCTGATTTGATGTTCTGATCATATTACAGAGAGCAACTTAAACAAAGACCACATTTTTTACTGCCTTGTTTTCACAGCAGTTGATCCACACACCTATCTCTATGGTGACTTTTGTACTGTCCTCTCTGAGATTTAAGTCCACAATGAGACCATTAACCAGATGTGAGAGGTAAGAAGGATTATACACATGATTAGAGTAAATAGTAACCATGAATTCACTCACCCACAACTGTTGGCTTAAGCTTTACTTTGGGGATGGAGACTCTCATTAAATCTTGTTTTCAGTACAGCAAACTGTCACTTACACTGACCTATCATGGAAAAATAAGAAGTTCCTGAAATTATATTTTAAAAGACAATAATATTTCAAAGTTTATAGCTAGCTATCGTCTCACATTTTCAGCAAATTTTACTGTGTACTGTGTGATGCATGGTAAAATGTATCATGACCCCTAAGGCATCTTCGTATTTGTAATCTTCTGTGCATGTGAAAGACAGTGATATTTTGCTAGTATCTGGGCATAAAATGATATTACATATAATAAAAATAAAAAGAGATAATAAAACTATTTAAGAGTGTGAGTTTTATGGGCTATGTGGTAGCGAGATGACAGAAGGAGGGGGAATACAGTATGTTCACAAATATTTATAATAAAAATTGAAGGGTGCTCAAGTACATCTATTCATTAATTTCTTGAGGGTTAAGGTCCCTGATCATTTCCACACATTCATTTTTACTTCCAGGGCCAAACATAATGCCAGATACATGGTAATGACTTAATATATGTTACTTGACATTCTGGGAATAATGGAAATGAGACGACTAGCGGATGAAGGGGTCAGAGGTAGAGGCTTATAGCAAAGACTGCTAATTGTTCCCCAGTATCCATTCTTCTTCCATAGCAACGGTTCCCTTGATTTCTAGTTGGACACAAATGCAAACCCCCTTTGCTGCTAGGTATACCATGTGACTAAGTTCTGGCCAATGGAATGTGAGCAAAAGTGATGTGTGTACTTTTCAGGTTATGTCCTTGAAAGGAATGGGCATGCCCTCCCTTTCCTCTTAGTTCCCCCAACCACTGCTATGGTATGCCAGGGTGGTAAGCCACACTGGACTAAGTTGAGAAGAGCAAAGCCCTTCCATGGAGCCTAAAATAGGAGTGTGGGCCCTGACAACTTTGTGGAGGACAGCCGCTGTGCCAACAGGACTTTATGTGAGAAATAAACTGGTTCCGTTGAGGCCAATGGTTAGTTTGGGTCTCTATCACAGTGGTTAAATTCATATCCTAATACAATCAGGAAGGATTTATAGAGGCAATGCTTGCACTGAGTTTCAAAGATTGAGTAGGAGCTCACCAGGTGGACTCAAAAATTAAAGTAACCATATTAAAACCCTCTGGGGAGGCTTATATTTGTTCCCAGTTCCATGCTAGAATTTGGAGGGTGGGACAAATTTGATCGTTTGTAGGTCCACTTCAGCAAAGTCTTTCTTTGCAAGCAACTCCTGGAAAGGAGGGATGCGGTTTTAAGTTGGCAAATACCTTTACCCAACTTGCCCTGGAAGACTCCGTCTAATGTGATATCCATTGTTCTAAAAAGTATGAAAATAAAGTAGGCTCGTCTTTTCCCCCCTTTTCTTCAGTAGCTCTACACTCATCTATTTTAACATTTCCTGCGCCTCTGCCCAACGCGCCAAGGCGGGTGCTGTCAGCGACACAGAATTCTTGCTTTCAAGAAGACCGACCTGGAAGTGTCGGGAAGAGGGGGCCACTTGTGGTTTTGGGTAAGTCGAGGACCCTCGGGACGAAGCGATCCAACTGCGCAAAGGGTCTGGGGCTGGCGTCGCGGAACTCTGGAGGAAGAGCAAACTGGCTGGGTGAGAGGCGGACCCAGCCAAGTCCCGCGGGAACGGCCCTCGGCGGCGTCAGGCCACGCTCCCGGTTGCCACGGAGACGGGGTCGCTGCCGGCCGGCCGGCAGACCGCGAGAGGTGGGAGAGGCCGACCCTTGCCCGGCCTGAGCCGTGGGTCCACTCGCGCCGCGCTCCATCCAGCTCCGCCGCCGCGTCCGCGAAGGGCCACTGAGCGTGACCTGGGGAGGCCAGAAGGCGCGCTCTGCTTTCGGGAACTGGAGCGAAGCGAGCGCCGGAGGTCGGGGCACCCCACACCCCGAACACAGTTGGTGGGAGAGGCTGCATTTAAGCCAGAACTGCCTTCCCGGGCCGCCGCCGGCGCCCGGCCGTCCCGGGCTCCCGAGGGCTCTGTTCAGACACCGGCCTTCGGTGCCCCAAGTGCAACGGCTGCCGCGTCTCCGTCCCCGAAGCCCCGGGAAACATCCGCCCTCCTGGGTAGGGGGCGCCCGTGGGGCCGCAGACGCGGCTCGTGGGGAGCGCTACCCCCAAAGGGGCCTAGGGAAAAGTCGCTTGGGAGAGGATTCCCGAAACACCTTCCCACCTCCCCTCTCTCTGAGTGTTGGAGACGTTTGGTTAGGTCTTGTACGGCCCCAAGCATGGGACGCTCGGATCCGCCAGTAGATGCCACCTCTTAGTCTTTCAGGCCACAACGAAATGGGCCACCAAGTGGGTCCCGCAGGAATAGTGATTTACCGAGATAACCTTTTATTTTCACAGAGACGATACTTAAGGTACAGGGAAAAACCATTTCCTGGAACATCTGAGTTGTAATTCGATCTTGAGTTACCGACCACAGTCAGGGGGCAAACATGCTTCGTGCCACGAGTGAACTGGAGTTTTCGAACGAAAAAAATACGGAGGAGATCTCCCAGCTCGCTTCCCTGGTGCTGTCAGGTGACACATCAACCGGCGAAAAAAACTCAACTGGTTTACCCGAAAAAACTGGCTATCCGGACTCCGTTTACATTATGGCAGCAAATATTTTTCAGGGTATTCGATTCGAAAAGTCGCCAGAGAAAGTCTTAATAAAGTATGGGAATGAACCCCTGCGGTCCTTGCCGGAGTCTGAGGATGAATCCTTTCGGCGTTCGTCCTATGAGCTGGCTTTCAGTGCTCTGAAGTGTGAGTAGTACCAGTCTCAACGATCGTCACTAAAATAAAATAATGAGAGAATTTGTGGAGCGCAGTCCCCTTCCCGCCCTCTGGTGCACACCAGGTTTTGTTTTCACATATTTGTGTAACTTTGGTCAGATGCATGTCAAGGAATTTGGAGAGTTCCAGTAAAACAAGCTCTTTCAGGCCAGAACTGTTTTTCACTGCAGATTCCCTGTGCCTAGGAGGGTGCCCGTCCTTAGATGGATGTAATGCACAGTCATTAAATTGAACAAGGAAACAATTCCATTAACAGGAAGAATAAGAGTCCACTGAAGGATCCAAGTACAGTTACCCCCCACCACCACCTTGGGTTATTTCTTGGCATTTTCTATGTTTACCTCTTGTATATTAGTGTATGAACTTTCACAATTATAAAAACCAGTAAGAGAGGAACAGAGATGGAGTAAGAAGCCAAGGTACAATATATTAAAAATGAATATCAAAATCAAATCAACCCGGATTAAGATGATCCCATTCATAGCCAATAGCGTAAATTTTGAGAGCTTATACATTTATTCCTCCAAACTTCTGTAGAATTCCCTGTTCTAATTTGCCTCCAGGGTTTGAGATGCAGTGTTTCAGATTCGCTCAGTGGTGGTTAACTATCCACTTCTGTGTGTGGAGCTGACTCTAGGACAGAACCAAATACTGTTACTGTGAAAGCAAACAGTGGCAGGGTCTGGAGATCTTTGTTTTTGTACTAGCAATAAGCTTTAAAATAAGTTTAGAATCTTCTGATTCAGACACCACATTATCAATTGCTCGCCTGTCCCCTTTAAACTATAATGTTTATACTGGTTTGTAAAATGAGTGAATGTAGTTCCAAAAAGAAGTTCCAGAAATATTTGGAGTATTAACAGCATGGCTGAAATGATAAGCATATGGCTTCCTAAAGAGACACCTTGAAAGGGCAACACTAATTTGCATGCATTTCCTTAGTACTTACTGGGCCTTCCACATTCTTGCACATAGGCACTTACCAGTTGTTTAGTTGAACTAAAATGCCCGGTTCATTACTTAGACATGAATATATATTTTTGGTAGTCTGCAGATACAAGGCAGCTCAACTCTGAAGCCAGAAATTTGTCAACATAGAGAAAAATTTGATGTCAAAAGGCATCTGTTTAATTTCCATTTCTTTGTTTTCTCCTGCTTGTGGATTTTTTTCTTTTTAAATGTTTTAACCATTTTTTCTTTTCCAGTGTAATCTTTCACATTATTTCATCCATTCCTTCTATCTGCTTTGAAAAAATGTAGTTTTAGAGACCAAAATGTTGCACTTTAGATAATGAGCCAAATGAACATTTTTACATTTTCTCCTTGTAACAATGAAAGGCAGACTGGGCATCTATGTTAATTAGTTGGTATTTAATGTTAATGCCAAAATTCTATTATAGACAATTTGTTTTCCTAATGGAATATTGCGTCTTAGATTTAGGAATCAATACTAAAAACCTGAAATTATTTTGTATACAATTAATGCATTGACTAGATGGTCATGCTATAGTGATATGTATACTTGATTCTCTTTTTCTTCCTCTCAGTCTTTATTTCTGTTTTATGAAAGGGCTTTGTGACCATTTTATGTTTTTTAATGACCCAGAAAAATCCCATTAAGATAAAGTATTGTCATAGACCTTTACAAACCTGCCTTTGCTCGAAATGTTTGTTTTTTTTAATTCTAATTCTAATCTAAGCTGGCTTTGGTTGTTTACTTGGTACAAATATTTTTTTCTTCTTAAAATAATAATATATTGCTTAAATTATTATCTGAATAATTTCTGAATGTTCAAATAAAATCAAACCAGAATTTCTAAATGTATTAGATTTCCAAGATAATTAAGAGCCTGATAGTTTGCTTTAAGACAGTGGGGGCTCTGTGCATTCCCTGGTAGCTTCTGTATAATCAGTGTTCTACCAGTACTTTCACATGATATCTTATAAACTCATATTTGGCTTGTACCTTATAGGTTCAGAAAAGAAAACTCAGGATTTCTTCCCTGCAGTTTTTTTATAGGAGCAGTAAAGCTAAAAATGTTAATGTATAAACTAAAGAGAGCTTGGGTAACGATCCCTTTTATTGGTGAAGTTGTGAATAGGTGGTGTGTGTGTGTGTGTGTGTGTGTGTGTGTAGAAGTATAAGGAGAAGGAAAAATGACAGAAAATTCCTTCATTATATAAATGTTAAGTATACTCCTTTGGCTGTGTTTTCAGTATTTCCGTTTTATTGTTTACTCTTTTGTTGATGTCCTTTGTGTATAAGCTCTTTCAAAGGAGAGAATGTATTTATATCTGATTAACCTTTTGAAGGTTTAAAGGGCTCAGTATGTTTTTTTGAGGTGAAGACAACCACGATTCCTGCTTTACTAAATAGCCCCAAAGTCAATTTTCTGTTAAAGAAGGTAATGAAGAGTAGCCGATTCCTTTTAAGTTTTATTTCTATCAAAGAAATAGAGTACTAGCAGCTAATTTGTTTTTTCAAAGAATCTCTGGATGTTTCAAGAATTCTAAATATTAAAAAAAAGAAAAGAAACTCTGGAAAATGATTTCTTAAGAAATAAACTAATGAACCACAAATAAAGAAAACAGAAAACTTGAAGAAAAAGATGTCCCTGAAATTGTTGGTATTATTCCTGGCTTAATTTGTTCTCCAACCTAAGTATATATAGTAGTTGGTGAACTTTCAGTCTCAGGAACTGTGGCGTTAGCCTGGCCATTTCAGAATCTTCTAACCTGTTAGTGAAAAACCTAGTAAATGCTTAATGTATGGTTTTATTATGACTTTGGTAATTAGTAATTGTAGGTGGGGTATGCAAGACCACCATCAGGGTCGGTGATTCACTGGAAGGACTTACAGAACTTATCACATCTGTTATGCTCATAGTTATAGTTTATTATAGTGAAAGGTTACTTAAAGTCAACACCAGAAAAAAGTGCATTGGACAGAGTCCAGGAGAGACCTGGTGCAAGTTTTCTACCATTCTTTCCCAGTGGAGTCTGTGGACAATGCTTAATTCTCTTAGCAATGGTAGGACAACAGGAATGAAGTATTGTAGTATGTGAATGTAGTACTGAAGTATAGGAAAGCTCACCCAAGCCTTGCTGTCCAGGGTTTTTATTGGTGTCAGTCACATAGACAAAGAGAGACCTTGTGGCTGACCTTACTCGGTCTCTAGCTCTTCCAGAGGTCAAGCTGACACCATGTTACCCACCAACACCCGGTGTAAACACAGACACTGTCATCAGGCAAGCTATTCCAAAGGTTTATAGAAGTTATCTCCCCAGAGTGCCAAACCTTTCTTTGGAGTGTTCAGGGTTTGGCCATCCAGGCCTGCTTAGTTGATTTTTTTAAAGTTTATTTATTTATTCTGAGAGAGAGAGGGAGAGAGAATGAGCATGACTAGGGAAGGGGCAGAGAGGGAGGGAGAGTGAATCCCAAGCAGGCTCCGTGCTGACAGCTCAGAGCCTGATGAGGGCTAGATCTCATGAGATCCTGACCTAAGCTGAAATCAAGCTTAAGCAACTGAGCCACCCAGGTGCCCCGTGCTGAGTTAATTCTTGATTGTATAGTGATTCATTAGAAAAATAATCTAGATCAATAACCTCTTAAGCTCTGGTTGTCATGTAAGAGGTAAATGCAATTTTCTTGAATGAAAATAATAATAATACCTTATATTTACATAGCTCTTTGTAATTGACAAAACAAAATATCATTTGCTACACCAGTTCTTTGAGACACAAGATTCTCATTTTGCAAATGAAAAAAATTGAGGGAAACTCAAGAAGAGATTAAATGATATACTAAGGAACCAAGCAGGAAGAA